ATTTATGTACTTCTTTGAGATCTGCACAAAGGTCAAACCATCTTTGTTTAATTTATATTCCCCCTTTACTGGAAGTTTGGCAGTATTGTAGGGTAAGTACTCTTTCATAATTATCCATTGTTTTCCTAATTCTTTTTATAACTGCCATTATTCCTTCTCATTGAACTCTCAGCAAAGGGTATTGTTTGACACATAGCCATGCTTTTGATAAGCTATTTATTTCGGTTCTGTATCTCAAATTAAATCAGTATTATTATTTCTAGGGCCCAAAGTAAGGCGTTGATTTGTTTCTGCTCAGAGCACTTCTCCAGCACACTGTAAGGCTGCTTCTTTCTGCCCTATCCCTTTTCTCTCAGAAGGCACCCAGTAAACAAATTGTATTTCATTTTTTCAGGGCATTGCGCAGACACTCCATATGGAGTGTACAGTATGGCAGTCTTAATTTGCACAATGATCTCTCCCCAGTAGGTTTACAGGAAAATCAGGAGGAAGTGAGGAAACATGTTCCTCAGTCACAGAATCTATTCATGTGGGAACCATGAAAGAAATGTAGCAGGTGTAAAGCTGATCCAAAATACCAACAACCTGTGTTGATTTATTGCCAGATAAATGAGCAGTGAGGAATTTCTAGTAGCACCAGTATCTACCAGAAAAGCAAAGATGTGATAGTCTGAGGGAAAGTTACTGAAACATCTATTTCACCAGTTCCTAACCTTTGAAATTCCTTCAATCTGTCAACTGTAAACCATTTGTAATCATTCCCTAGCTTTCTGGGCTTTCCTGTTTCCCTTGTTTCTTTAGTTTCTGCATCCTCTGGAATGCCTTTACTCAAGTCCTTCTGCCAGCATCCCGTTTTCTTGAAAGAATGATGCACTGTGTTCTTTTTTTCCTTTGTTCCCTTCACAGCTTGACCAGACTAGAGGTTATTTATTTTAGTAAGTAGTCTTCACTGAGCAGTTAACACAGTACTTTTTAACTTCTTTTCTTTTTCGTATTTCTCTAGTTTAGCCCAAAACTGAGTAACTGCTGCTAAGATTTGAGTACTGGTCTGTCCTTGCCATTCTACCACCTTTTCCTTAATTTGAGCTTGGACAGTCAAGCAAAAGAGCCAAGACAAAGGTGGACAGGGCCAGAGGACAGTTTTGATCTGCTTTTAGATTCGTTCTAGCAAATTTTGATCAATTCTCAACAAATTACTGATGGAAAATAATGGTGCACTCACCCATCTTCTGGATACAGTACTGCAGTTTCTCCCAGCTCACCTATAGAAGAAAGTCTATGGGCGTCTCTGCAGTGGGTCATCGAAGCCTTTCTTTCTTCCACAGTTGTGAAGGGGGATGGGTAGTTGGCTACTCACCAGTGCAGAGGTATCATCTGGTACCCATGTGCTTGCTTCATCAAGTGAGCAACGTCTCCTGGTTGCAGACTTCACAAAGTGGCTTTTGCACATCCCTGTAGACTGAAAACTGTGGAGGACTCTTGTAAACTTTTGAGAAACTGGAAAAGAAGCTTTCATGTGAATAATAGCTGGCAACAGGTTGGGTAGCTTCTCAAGGGCATCATCTTCACTGGTGATCAAATAAGAAGACTTGGTTTCCCTCATATTGTGGCAAGAAAAATCTAAAGTTACCTCTTTGACATCTTTCCCATGTTGGTAGATTTATCAACTTAATACTTCTTTTTTGTTTTGCCTTTTTTTTCAATTAACTAATGAAAGAGCTCACCATCCAGTTGCCTTCATAGAGGGACAGTCTCTTGTACATGTTCTCAGCTATTCCCTAAATGTATCCCTTTATGATTCCTGCTTTCCTGGATGCATGGTGTATTGATGATGAACTCCTGGAGGTAGAATCTGTGCTGAGATACAGAGTGGGTTCAAGGCTAGATAGGATGTGAGGCACACAAACCCACGTCCTTACTCAAGGTGGATAATTCATTACCAGCTCAAGAAGGTGTACCCTTATTCTTCTGTGTAGGGACATCTACAAACAAAGGGAACCGCATATCCCTTTGTGGAAGAGGAAAGATCATCACTTCCCTCTTCCCAGGCATCTGTTTGAAGAAAGAAAGATAAAGAGATGCATGGGAAACAGAGGGAACACAGACAGCAAAGGGAGAAAAGGGCTATGTGAACGAGAAAGTGCCTTTAATTCTCACATTTTTTTCTTCTATTCATCTCAATCTTTTCTTCAATCATTTTTAACTTTCCTCTTAGAAGATATCCATCCAATAAATACCAGTAATGAATTTGCTTTGAATATGGACCTCATAAAACCCTCACAATCCTGAAAGACTGGATTGTCTCATGTATTCCAGATCTGACAGAGAAACATTACTTGTTGAAGAGAAAGAACTGCAGGCAACATTCCTGTTTTCCCATAAATGGTTCTGGTGGGATTTTAGAGCCCAATTTACCTTTGCTTATTCAATAATAAAATAGTGAATGTGGAGTGGGTGGCTCATCCAGCTAATACTCAAAAAAAAGCAGAACACTAGAAGAGAGACTTTTTTTACAATTCACGATCTCTTTTATGACTGTTGTGTGGCTACATGACCTTCAGCTGGTCCAGTTAATTCAGAACTGCCATTTGTATGCCATCCTTATCACAAAATTGTTAAAACTAAAATCTGCTAACCCACAAAATGTAGAAAAGGGTGTAGCAGTTTTAATATTGAAATAAGCATTAAAAAAGACTGTGATGTGCATCAGAGGCAATCCACCAAGAAGAATGCAAAGAGAATTAAGCTCGCCCTTTCATATAGTCAGGCAGATACAATCCATTATATACATGTTAATTGTCATTATCAAAAGGAAAAATAACTTCTCCTATTTGCATGACAGGCAAGACTTTGCATCATGGAGCTATGTGCCCAGGCTTACACTCCCATAGAAACAGGGAGAGACAGGGCAACACCCTCCTTGATGCTCACACTTCCACGAGGTGGCCCAGAGGCCTCCAAGAAAGACATTCATGGGATGCAAAATTGGCAAAAGGCTTACTTAGCTGAAAAGATTTACGTACCTGTCAAATAAACAGATGTTTGCAATTTCAAGTTTTAGAAAGGGAATGCTCGAGGAGAGTTTCTCCTCCCCTCTTTAGCATCAAGGAAAATTTTAATTTTTTATTACTTTAGTATTATTATTATTGTTTTTGTTGTTATGCTAGATTTAGATTTACCCTTACACCAGCAATGAGTTGGAAACTATGTAGAATCATGGCAAATAGGAGAATAAGTTAGCTTGTATGTGCGATCTGCTCTTTCTGAACTGACAAAATTACCATGCTAGAGGTTTGTGGATGGTAAAAGTTCAGGACTAAAAATAATAAAGAGTAATAATTAAATATCATGAAAAAATATTTTAATATTCCCCATGAGAGTGATTTTTGACATATTTGATATGTTGTACCCGATGCACATTCTATAATTTTAAGCTCTCATTCCCATGTCATAATTGATTTATTCTTTGTCCTGTCTCTTTAAGCTTGAGTTCTTAATCTTACCCATAAACTTTGTCTGTACTGCAGTTGAAGAGGTTAGTACTTAGGAACTCACCAATTTGAAAATTAAAATTCATATGCCACAAAATTTAACTGAAAGATGTTTTGAAGTAATAGTGTATATGCGTTTGTGTCTGTGTGAATACAGATATGTATACATGCAGACATACACATATATTACACAGAAGAATGTGTGTGTATCCTTTATACTATAATAATTTTAAATTTGCTTTGGCAGGAAAAAAATGAATAAAATCTGAAACACCATATTATCTTATGGTATTATCATATTTTGTAATACTCCTCAATATCATGCATATTTCATTAGTTAAATTACAATATATTTAACTGGGTTTGTTTTTTATAGAATCTCTTGAATTCTGTAACACTGGATGCTGCTGACATAACTATACTGCTCATGTGGTCTGCTGGTTGGATTTTAGTTATGGCTGACCAAGGAGCAGTGCACTTTACTGCCCTGTCACTTCAAGGATATGGCCATTATGCTGCCCTCTGCTGGCCTAATTATAGTATAGACTCCTTCCAAGAGATGTTCTCTCAGGGTGCCCTTTTTATTACGTAGAAAATTTTTATACCTTCTCTTCTAATGTAACTTTCCATCAATCCTCATGGTTTTAACAATAAAGTAGGTATGCACTTAGAAATTCCTTCTTTTACAAACCTATCATTTTAGTATATGATTTATAATTCCCTATCAGTATGGACATTTTACTCAGCAGTGAATCAATTTTTTGTTTCCTCTTTCTATACTTGTAGACTTTCCCCCCCAAGGTCTTATTTACTCATTTACTTTCCTCTTTTATATGAGCCTTGGCTTTGGTTCAAGTATGTGCTTGCAACGTTAATAATGGCAGAGGAAACAGGAAGTAATTTCCCTCATTAGAGTTCTAAGACTGAGTATTACGGAATGAGATTATTAAAGCAGAGATTTAGTGGTGCCACATCAGATCAGCAGCATGTTCTTTAAAATAAAATTCTTTACAATGAAACATGCGTTGCATAGTTAGCTTGACATGAGTATTGCAAAGAGTTATATCCCTTTCCATTTATTGTTTTTCACAATGCTTAAATACTTTTCACAATATTTCTCTAGGACAAAGTTCTGTGAAAATTGAAAGGTTAAACTAAAGTGAATTTCTGATGTTTGAAAAAAAAACTTAAAAGATTTTTATAGATCCCCTTTTTCTTTTCAGTTCAAAAAGAAGTATAAGATTCTCTGATGGTCTAAAATTTAGTGTCTATCCTTGAGGGTATGAACGATCTAGCCTAGTTAAACCCATAAAATGGTACTTTGTTTATAATAAACCTTGATCACTTTATTGTGTTGTTTGTTCATTATATCAACACATAGTCTTATAAACTTATCTGACAGTTGTTTTTTTAGCCAATAAAGTATTGAGAAACACATCTCTTTCATAATTTGCTTGCAGAGTGTGTTTTAATAACCCATTTCTCCCTATTTTGTCCATTTCTTTTTAGGCTTACTGGAAGCTTTGTGCCAGACTTGATAGTGAGTATGAGCAGCCAAATGTGGCTGCACCTTCAAACAGATGAAAGTGTCGGATCTGTTGGCTTCAAGGTTAACTACAAAGGTAATGATGAATTGCTACTATGGGAAATATGTTATCTTAATACCATCAGAGAATACTTTTAAATTCAAATTTAATTACATTTACAAAATAAGTCTCCCAGAACTAAAGCAAGAATATATTCCAACAAAATACTTCCCTCTCTAAATTAACTACAAATGTTGATTTCACTTTTCTTTAGATAAAATTGTTTTTCTTTAATGTGTTTATTTTGTATACCCCATCTCTCCCATCCTCCCACTTACTCTGTCTAAGCTGTAGTCACTCTGGACTCCTAGCCTTTCTCAGAATAGGCAATGTAATTTTATACACTCTATACAATTTATCCGAAGAAAAATATACTAGTTATCAAATATTTAAATAGAAAGTAAAGGACTTAATTCCTCAGCTAATCCAGTGTGCTTTTTAATTTTTTTGAAATCTCAGATCAAGCACATGGTTTTAGTGTTCCAATGATCAGATCCCATGTAAATCATATATTACACATGAGTTAAATTGCTACTGCCCGTCCCAGTGTTGGCAGTGATGCTGATGATCGATGACATGTGTAAAACAAGATCTTTTGTTCTAGTTTCATTTATAAGAGACAGATGCAAGCATTCTGAGATCATGAATCTATTTGACACATGATGACCCTTGATTAAAGTCAAATATAGATAATCAATATATACACACAGTGTACATATTAGAAATATAAATTTGGAATTTGACTGAGAAATACATAAATTTTAATAAATTTAATTAAAACTTATGTTTTAAAAGATAAAAGTATGATAGACACTATTAGAACATTATGTTGCTTGCATTTATTATTTCTATTGTAGGAAAAATAATTATTCTTTATCTTACATTTGAACAATGGCTGTGCAAAATTCTCTTACTTGCATAATAGTAACTTTTAATCAGTTATTCTTTTTTCAAGCATTAGCTTGCCATGCCTTTTTATCTGAGCACTTGGAAATGAATGCATGGTGTTGTCAGGGAGACAGGGTATATGCATTCTGTGTTTTCAAATTGTGATTAAATTTGGTACTACATTAATTTTGAATTCTTCAGGAAGTATGTTTAAATGTCAGTTCAAAAAAATAAAAAGGTAGGTATGATTATAATGTAAAATATATTCCTCCTCCATTTAAAATATACATCTATCTTCAGTAAATAAAACAAAGCTACAAAAATCTAAAGAATAGCCAGCTTATGTTGAAAGTATCTATGTCTTGATCTTTTTCTCTTGTTTTTTCCCTTCCAAATAGCTAACTGAAACTGGCTTTCTTATATTTCTCTTTGTTTTATTATTTTCTTCACCCTATGAAGTTTACCTGTTAGAAAACCTATAGTTGTTTAAACCTTAGAAACTATATTAATCATTAATGATAACGCTTCAATGAAGAACACAGTTATTAAAGCTCATGAACAGGTTGGAGCAGCAGAGGAGTTCTATCAATATTTGCAAAGCTTTCTACTTCAATGAAGTTCAAGAGCTGGACATGCATTGTAAAGCAGCACAATTATTTTGGTTTCTTTCTGTTCAGTTTTCAATAAATAATGCCAAAAATATTTCTTAAATATTTGCTATATGCCAACTATTGAATGAGTTGTAGAATATAGAAAAAACATCCAGACAGTATCTCTCTCAGGAAGATAGTAATATAGTGACAGAAAATATGCCCTGCTATTTATACAGAAATATCAACGTATATTTGAAACCAACACAGGAGATCTTTAATGAGTATTGCCTTTATCCTCCTTCCTCCTTTCATTCTGGTCTCTTCCAATCTAATTACCACACCGCTAATGGTGATCCCTGGCTGCAGAGAGGTGATCATATTATACTCCTGCTCAAAATGTTTCTACACTTTCTATTGCCAAGAGATGAAGTCCAAAGCCTCCATAGACCCTATGTTCCAGATTAATTCATCCTTTTATGCCCTTCTCCCTGCAGTTCAACTTTATCAAATTATCCATAATTCTCTGAACCCAACAAGTTGTTCACACTTCTCTTTCTCTGGACATTCAGTAAATTCTACCTGAACCTTTATATTTCAACTCAACATCACATCGCTCATCCTTCAAGACAAAGATCAAATAGTTTTTCTTCTGTGAAGCCCTCTTTAACTCCACCCATCATAAAGGAACACTTTCTCTGTTTTATAAAACCTTTGCCATATATATCCACTATAAAACCATGTAGAAATATGTCATAGTCATCTTTATATTTCCATTAGTAACCCTTTGCTATGTCATCATAGGTGATGAATGTCTATTGTTTAACGAAGATGAATAAATGACTTGACCTACATAATATGAGCTAGGGTAAAACATGTCCTCAAAAGTTTAGTTTACCATGATTTTTTTCTTACTATGAAAATCACATTTTTTGTATTCAATAATTTAAAACCTGAACTCAAAGTTGAAATAGGGTTCATTTTGAGAAGTTTCAAATTTTGATGTGCAGATAACTTCAGCAACTTCACCTACTAAAAATAATTTTCATAATTATCATGCTTTCTCTTAAGTAGTGTGTTGGTTCTAAATGGAACACCTGCGAAAAAACCTTTCCAGATCTGATCTAAAGATATCTTCCTTTTTTGTCATCTGTGGAGTTTGCATGAGATGGTGTTCAATGTAGATCTGCTATAAATTAACTATGTATTTTATTGCATATTTGTCCTTTATATTTTTTAGATTTTAAACAAAGTGACTAAATTTTGTAATTTAGATTTTTTCATAATATATATATTTTTAATTGCCTAAGAGTGCTTTGAAAACTTCAATTTAAAGAAAATTTAAATGAAATCTCTTAGAAACTAAAAATACAGGATTAAAAGCTGCGCTGCTGTGTGGGAATGGGGGTGGGAAGGAGGTTTGGCAACCCCCTAATGGTCAGAATGCCCCTCATTTCTTGCAAATTTTGGAAAAGCCCAAATGCCCCATAAAAACATAGTTTAAAAAATGACTGTTCCAAGACCATCCTATTGACTGAGAGACCAAAAATGTACCTGTGAATATAAAATTATACATAGTTGATTAAAATGTCATTATCTTTAGAACTTCAGTCTTAATCTTTGGAACTATCAATGTTTTTTTCTATAGACTTTGAACAGTGCCTGTCTTAAGATATAAAAAGGCAGTAAATATTATTAATCAAGAAAATAATTCTTTATTATAAATGCAATTCATTCTTTTTAAATTAGGATTCATTTAATGTTTATTATGTACATGGCAGTATGCTGATTACTATATGCAATATTGGAAACAAATAAAATGCCACCAGACTCTTGACAAATTTAATGATATTCCTTACTTGTAAAAACCGGTAATGTCCATGTTAGGTATAACAAGTCACAGCCATCCTGATTCACAGGAGATTTATATATTTGATTCAAGATTATGATTCAAAATTATGATTCAAGACATGACACTAGGTTTTCCTGCTGAAAAGGAAGAATGACCTAGCCATCTGTCTTGTCCCGTTACCCACTGTTTTCTTGTTTTTATATCGCCATTATTTCAAATGCTTATTAAGCAGAAAGGAAGCCCAAAGAAAGGCACTTGTTTTTTTCCTAATGGGCACATTAGCATCCATTAACACTGCACTATTTTTTTATATATTTTTATTTTCATCTTAGCCTAAACAACATGAAAAGGATAATGAATAATTACTAAGAGGCTTGTACATGGACATCTGTATAGCCTGCATTAACTCATTAAATCTTATTAGAACTCCAAAAGATAATAATTATTAGTCATTTTTACAGATCAGAAAACTGATTAGTATGTGGGCACCATGATGATAGGAAGTTTGATCTGTTTTGTGTGCCAGCTACCCTAACTGGTGTGAAAAGCATGAGGCGACCACAAGATTGAATTAAATTACTGAGCTCCAATGCATAAAGCAAAGTATGCACTTACTCATGTGCATACACACACACAACAAAAACCACCTGCCTTCAAATGCATGTGCATTTTTATTTCCATATGGTAATTCAATGTCCTTTAGGAATATTTAGTAAAAGAGCTTAATCCATGACAGAGGTGTATAAAAAAATCTCCAGACTACAGAGTTTTGAAAGTGGTATTGACTCATTTTAGAAATCAAGCATTGTGATTGTTTAATTTTTAGTTGTGTGGTAGTGTGCATTTTCAACAATGGTATTATTAGCAAACATGTTCTGAGTGTTTATGTACTATTGTGAGCTCAGGAGGCATATCATTTGATCAGTTGCAATAAACCTACAAGGTAGTAATATTATCCCTATTGTACAGATGAAGTAATCAAGACACAGTAAGGTAGGTAATTTGTTCAAAATCACAAGGCCTGTATGTGGAAAAATTAAGAAATGACTCTGAATCTTATGTTTTTAGACTCCTGCCTTTCAGAAACTTTATATTATTTCCATAAATCTTAGCTTAAATTTATTTTGACATTTTAGATAATAAAACAGCTCTCAACTAAAGTACACAAATAGAGTTTAAAATTTGATGAAACTATCTGCTTTTATGGAATGCCTTAAAATTTTGAAATAGAATGTTTTCATGAAAGAAGATCATTTTCCTTAAATATTTAGAATAATTAATTTTTATGGCTTAAAGTGGACTGAGAGTCCCTTTCTCTCATTGTAGGACTGAGAACTAGAAATTCCATTGTTTCCTCAAATGTCAGTCTTTAGTAATTAGGGAATATGCCAGAGTTAAGGTGGACTGATACCAAAGATTTGAAATGTAAATAATTATTTATAAGTGTTCGACCCAAATTTAAGTTCAAATTTAATTAAAACCTTAGCTTCCTTTTAAAATGCACACTTAATGTTGGAGGTGTCATTTTAAAAAATATATCAAATAATGTATTGTGGTGTTGATTAGGACATTTTGTACACAGCTTGTGATGATATTTTAAATAATAACTTGTACAGCAAAAATCTTAGACAAATCAGGCTTGGAGGTTTTATGGTTTTACATTTATGGAAGCATGTGTTTCTTCCTTCCTGTTTCTCGTTCCTTTC